TGACTTTAATGGTCAACTAGGTAAACTAAGCGAAAAGGAAAGACACCTGGGTGGATCTTATGGTGTCGCGGCTCAAAGAACAGATTACGGCGACCGTCTGTTGCAGCTATGCTCAGATAACCGCCTGTTTCTTGCAAACACTAACTTTAGGCATAAGGAAAAACATCTTTTAACATGGCGACCCCCTAATTCGTCTCAACGCTGGACCCAAATAGATCACATCGCTATCAGCCACCGATGGAGGGGCTCGATAGAAGACTGTCGCTCATTCTGGAGCACATGCTTAGACTCAGATCATGCTCTAGTGCGAGCACGTATTTGTCTACGTCTTACTGGACGTAGGAAAGATGGTGCAAGGAAACCCCTTAGGGTCCTACTTAATGATAGTCAAGCTAAGAGTATATTTCAGGAACATCTAGAAAAACAGTTAGACAGTCATGTAAGTGACGCCCACCCCGAGGCAGCGTGGAATGACATCCGAAAAGCTGTAGAAACAGCAGTGATGTCTGCAGGTACGGTAAACCATAAGGTTATGGAGAAACACTGGATCTCAGCAGCATCTACCGCACTGATAGATGCTCGAAAACTCATTCCATCTGGCTCTGAACATAACGAAGAGCGGAGTCAGCTTAAGCGTAAGCTGACTAGAAGCTTACGCAATGATCGTGAACAGTGGTGGGTAGCGAAATCAAGAGAGATGGAAAAGGCAGCGGCAATAGGTAACAGCAGACAACTGTTCAGACTTGTTAAGGAAACTGGTATTAGGAACCCAACTGTTAGCGAAACAATCGCAGAGAAAGATGGACATATTATTCGTTCTCAATAGATGAGATTGGATCGATGGGCAGAATACCTAAGGGATCAGTTCAACTGGCCTTCAGCCACACTTCGGTTTCCAACGATCTCCAGTCGACCTGAATGGCAAGTTGATGTAAGTCCTTTTACTCTTTACGAAGTTGAAAAAGCTATAGGAAATCTGAAGCGCGGGAGAGCAGTAGGCCCTGACAGGTTTACCCCTGAGATTTTTAAGGATGGTGGCCCAGTATTAGCAGCGAGATTGACTGAGGTCTTAGGTAGAATCTGGGAACTAGACGTAATCCCATCTGACTGGTCTCAATCACTGATTGTGTCAGTCTATAAGAAAGGACAAGAGTCTTCTTGTGACAATCACAGAGGAATTAGTTTGACTAATATATTGTCTAGAATATTAGCTTCAATAATACTTTGACGTCTAACCAAAGCTCTTGAAGAGCAGACTACAGAAAACCAGGCTGGTTTCCGACCTGGACGTGGTTGTATAGACCAAATATTCACACTACGTCAGGTCCTAGAACATAGACACACATTCAGACGCCCCACAATCGTAGTATTTCTCGACCTTAAGGCGGCATTTGACTCTGTTGATCGTAAGGTTCTATGGCAATGTTTGTCACTGAAAGGAGTACCAAAGAAGTACATCAACCTTATAAAGGCTCTCTACTCGAACACAACTGGTCGAGTGAGAGCTTATGGTGAACTGTCATCAGAATTGATTACCTCAAGTGGTGTTCGTCAGGGCTGTCCACTCTCTCCATTCTTGTTTAACTTTGTCGTTGACGTCCTTTGAGAGATGACACTTTCCTCATCTAAATTTCCAGGAGTTGAACTTTTACCGGGAGATCCACTTGTTGACTTAGAATATGCCGATGACATAGTTCTATTTGGTGAAGACGCTGAAAAAATACAGAGTCTGCTGACCACTCTAAGCAACAATGCAGACATGTTGGGGATGCGATTTTCTCCCTCGAAATGCAAAATGTTGCTTCAGGATTGGGTTGCGTCGACACCCGAACTAGTGATAGGGAGTGAAGTAGTTGAGCGTGTCGACCGCTTCACTTATCTCGGAAGTCTCATCAGCCCTTGTGGTTTGGTGTGTGACGAAATCTCAGTACGGATACAAAAGGCTCGACTAGCTTTTGCCAACTTGCGTCATTTGTGGCGTAGGCGAGATATCCGTCTACCAATCAAAGGACGGGTTTACTGCGCACCAGTTTGTTCTGTCTCACTTTATGTCAGTGAAACATGGCCAGTAAGAGTAGAGGATATTCGTAGGTTACTAGTATTTGACCGTAGGTGTCTTCGAAACATCGCTCGTATATCCTGGGACCACCGAGTAAGTAATGCAGTTGTTATGAAACGGGTACTAGGTAAGGATGGCAAATCAATTGATGAAGTAGTGAAACTTAATCATTTGAGATGGCTGGGACATGTGTTGCGCATGCCCGACCACCGACTGCCCCGACGTGCTATGTTTTATGGTGTAGGAGTAGGTTGGAAGAAAGGTAGGGGCGGCCAGACCAAAACATGGTACAAATCCATGAAGTCACTGACAAGTGGACTGAGTCATGTTGGTAGGTGTAGACTACCTGGTTGGGGACCGCGAGACGATAGCAACCGATGGTTAGAGACCTTGAATGACATGGCTCAAAATCGTTTGCAATGGCACAGGTGCATCCACTCTTTGTGTTCTCTCAAACTCTAATCTTCTGAATTCTTCATGTCCTTTATTTTCTTTCCAAATATATTCCACTGGACTATACTCCTTAAATAACATCATCAAACCTTAATGTCCCCTATCACTACTTATTCTTTCAGTACCTCTACCACTATGGGATTTGAATCGATAACTGAATCTCTGTGCTAATGTGGTATGGCAACTCGAACTGATGTACGTACGTAAGAAGTTCCACGTTGTTACTGACTGACTGACTGAATCTATTATATTTGATTCAAAAGGAGAGTTAATACTCTTCTCATTGTACTAATGATTATTTAATACTACTATGATCTTTGCGAAATGACCTGTAAGTATAAATTAATGATCCACTAATGAATAGTAGGTAATGTGAGACAAGAACTTAACTACTTCATTATCTGAATAATATTCTAATACTCTACAGTTTCATAACTGTAATTCAATCATAGAACAGCTAATTAATGTGATACTATATTTAATATTGAGTTTTTAAATGTGGTATTGTTTTATAAATTTAGATGTGAAACAATTACAAACTGTTTCATAAAACAATTTGAGATCATATAAGTAAAACTAATTAAGACAATTTATGGAGATTAGTTTAAGTATTCAACACTGGGTGACTATATATTAGCATGAATTGACATATGGATTTTAGATAACGACTCAGTAGTGAAAACGTTATGTTATACGTCTGATTGAGGTCTAACAATGTTAGTACATATGTCTAATGAGTTATGTAAAATGGGTATATAGGAAGAAATAAACAATACTTGGTACTTCGTCATTTTATGTGACAACATTTTGAAAAACTTTCAATTCAGTAGTTTAAAATTAATCCACCTACAGCGAGGCATCAAAATCTTCAATTCAATTTATGGTTAAATCATGACTGAATATGCCTGATTAGTACCATATTATGATGAAACAACTATACAGTACTCTCTGGTTTCAATTTTTGTCTAACAGAAGTCAGTTCATTATGTAAACTATCTTCAAACTGATGCATTAGACTAACCAAATAACCGACATAAAGATAATGATTAAAGTGTCGATAAGTATTGTTTAGCGGATATGTTGAGACATGTCATTAAATTCATAACATTACATAATATAGATAAAGCGGTTTTATGACGACTATTTTACATTATGGTGATATTCATCAAGGACTGTTCTCAGTTGAGGTATCGATCAAAATCATATACACTTCCAAGATGTGAGAACCTACAACACCATCAGAAATCCGACATAAGGAACATTGGGCTTGGATGAATGAACACTGTAATTCTCATGAGCCTATTGAATAAGATGTGTTGGTAAATATTTAGACTTCATCGATTGTGAAGTTGGTGAGAGTGTTTCTATTTATAGATATCTTTTGATAGTTTGAATGAAATTTTTGTTCTATTTACAGTTCCTTCTATTTTTTCTATCACATTCTCATTAACAACAACATCTAAGAATTCCATTTATAATAATTGTGATCTCTGACAAGTTGTTAATATTTCAGGTCTCCCTTTCAACTAGTATATTTGCTTAGTTAGTCATTTGTGTGACATCCATTCATAACTAATGCATTACATAATACTAATCATATAGAACGTGATTTTTGGAGTCTGATATCAGAAAACAAACTAAATAATATTTTGATTGAATCCACGATTGAATTCATAATCATATATTTTCATTGACTGTCAAATAGCTATCTATGAGACGGAAGTTCCTAGGTTTAATCCTTATTGGGTGAAGGGAAGTGGGAAATCAAACTCATGCTAACTTTCGAGGAATCCTATACTAGAACAAGACAACTATCCTATGCTAAATAATTTTCAATTATGATTTAATTAACATTAGTCAGTGTTCCTAACTATGAAAATTATTCATTTGGTATTGTTTTGCTTGAATCTTCCCATTGAGGTTTAGGACTGAAATTGATAAGTCTGTTATTGGCATATATGCATACTGTGCGCACTACCTCGATAATGACTTAATTCACAAGCTTTATGAGCAACGATAGATAGTGGCTAGCAGTGAATTCCATGACGCGCGTTTCGTCCTATTTGGAACTCGTCAGCTGGATGTACCTTCATCTCAGAGTTGATGTTCACTCTGGGACTCGAACTCAGTACCATCCTATACTAGAACAAGTCAACTATCCTATGCTAAATAACTTTCAATTGTGATCTAACTAACATTAGTCAGTATTTCAAACTATGAAAATGAGTTATGTATGACTTAGACACTTGACAAATGATACATAAATTTTTTCATGAACATTACAATATCTATATACCATTAACTAATGAATTCATTAAAATGTATATTGTCAATTACAAACAAACAAAAAAACCAAATTGTGTAATCATTCATTGGATAACAAATAATCTTACATGTAGTTACTCTTGCATACCAATAATATACAGTTATATAAATGTATTTGTGTAATATATATATATAGTGCTTTAACCAGTCTGATATAGTTGCATGGTTATATGAACGATGAAACTTTTGTCGACACAGACACAGACACATACACACACACATACATACAAAAACAAAACTGTATCAAATTGCTAATTAATTGTTAAACATTGATTATTATTATTTTACTGAATGCATAAACAGTAATGATCAAAAGCATCAATGATAATATAGATTATTAGTTATTGAATCTTCTATATAATCCTATATATGTAATAGTGACAAATTGAACATGCAACGGAACAAAATAATAATAATCACTAGTGAATTCAATGTAATCATTGTAGTTCTTTTACAGTTTATATCAGATGGTAAGTGACATTTGATTTTTTTTTGTCTACAACCTTATATTACAGTCTTTGAAGATAAATTCTTCAACATAGGAACTATTCATTGAATCAATCTTTTTTATGAAAGAATATGAATAAATGATGATATTGTTAAGGATTATTGCTTAGTTAAGATGAATATAAAAATTTGGGGGGGGGTATTCAGTTAGTTAAATAGTAGATAGAATAAAGATTTATGTTGATCATTAGTACAATAACATATAGATACTTTTATTGGGAATTAATATCAGCTTGAAAGCTAGTGGATGACAGTTTAATGATCTAGAGGTGAAACTTTTTTAGACAGATCGAAATTTATGGGTTCGATTCCCGATTAGGTTATCGTGAATGGGTAATACTGAGAAGTCGTATACTCAGATAGAATAGTCGTTCACTGTTTTCATGTTTCCAGTGGTTGTCTAATTTGAATCAGTTCGTAATCTGAATGACTATTATTATTACTGACCTTCATTAAGAAATTAAATAAATGAAACGATGGGTGTTTACTAGTTCTTACAGTTTATATAGCGCTATTAAATGATGTAAACATTATAGTAACCTTCTATATAGAAAGATTTTTCTTTTTCATTTTCATTTCAAATTCAAATCTCAATGATTTGCATGACCATTTTACTTGCCATGTAGTTTAAACAAAATCTAATCGTACATTTTATAACTACCTCTAAACAAGTAGTCATTTCAATAGTTGAAATCATGAGTCAGTTGAAACTAGACCACCATGGAAAACTTGGAAGCGTTGGATGACCGTTTCGCGGGGGGCGGGATCGTGGATTCACACTGATGAGGAGTCCCATACTAGGACGAAACGACTGTCAAATGCTTCCAGGTTTTCCATGGTGGTCTAGCTTTAATTGACTCATTATTTTAACTATTGAAATGACTAAAATCTTCGAAAAACCCCTTCTGAAAATAGTCATTTGTTGAATTGTAATATATAATCAATTTTTGAACAAAGTTGTATGTTTTAATGGTTGAATTCATGAGTCAGTTGAAGCTAGACCACTATGGAAAGCCTGGAAGCACCGGACGGCCGTTTTGTCCTAGTATTGGATTTCACAGCAGTGCTTACTCATGATCCTACCTCGCAAGACTTGAACCTAGAACCTATCGGTCTCGTGAGCGAACGCCTAAACTCTTGGATTTATTTTTTTACAGCTTGATCAATTTAAATAAATTTCACTGAATATAGGATAGATAAATATTTCTACTGAAAGACTATATGAAAACAGATCACAAGTCAGGTATGTATATATAAAATGCCAAAACATTTTAAGTAATAATCCCGATATCTATCATTTCTTAATGAAACACAAATATAAGCTGACGTAAAACAACTAGTATGGGGTTGTGGAAAATATCAAGTTTTTAAATGAGATCATTAACCGATTGATGTTAGACTGCCATTGGAAACCGAAAAGTACTAGACAGCCGTTTCATACCATTGTGGGACTCCTCAGAATTGTACATCCACGATCCCGCTAGCGGGATTCGAACCCAGTACCTTGTCTTAAACAATTTTTCAAATTATAAAGTATCCACTGTCAGTGGTGAAAAGAATAACGTCAATATTCAGTCTTTAATAGTTCATTTAGATTACTGTTAACGTGTAGGTCTTTTGGTTCTGTTATAAGATCATAATTAACTGTCATAATCTTTTAAAAAGATTTCACTACTGAACAAATCACATCAAAGTAAAATGATGCTGAAATCGACAAAACATCTTTGACAATTGAAACCTGAGGTTTAAATGGTTAAAAAGATTCTGGTAAAGTAGTTTCTTTGTCTAAAGTTAGAAAAATTAATTTAAGTTACTCAAGACTTTGCGAGACTCAATGGTCAGCTGCTTACAATCTGTAGTATTTCACAATTGAAGTTAAAAAGTCAGTTGAAAATACTTACATAAATGAATTTACTTGGAAAGTTTTACAAACGCATATCAGGATCCAAATGAAGTAAAGTGATTAAACAAGAAATTGTAAATATATGTTTTACATGAAAGAAGATTCTAAAATCTTTGATAGTGACAAAAGACCTAAGGTCTACAAATCAGTGGTTACTCAAACAATGAATACTATAGTAAACAAGAATGAAGTAAGGTTTAGTCAGTTAAAAATGAAATTATTGATCTAAAAGATAGTCGAAAAGAGATACAGTGATGTAATCTGTTAAGAGAATGAACTGAACAGAATTTTATGATGTAACGAGTAGAAAACGTTTGTATTACGTAAATACAAAAATATGACAACTATTTCTTTTAAGGTACATAAATCAGGTTTTAAACGACCAATATCCATGGCATCAGGAAACGTCGGAATATTGTGTCTTGGCTGCTTATTAATTACTGTGGCAACTTTTAGACACTTGGAAATTGATATCAGAAGGGGTTTTGTGGAGATTGTAGTAATTTCAATGGTTAAGATCATGAGTCAGTTGAAGGTAGGCTACCATGAAAAACCTGGAAGCACTGGACGGCCGTTTCGTCCTATTGTGGGACTCCTCAGCAATGTGCATCCACGACCTTGCCCCCTGCGAGATTCGAACCCAGGACCTACTTAGAAATTAACTGATGTATTGGATGGAATCTAATGACAGAATCCATTTAGTAGTTCGCTCGTAGATCACCTACCTCTGTTGAATAAGATCATCTGTACTTTGTTTGAGATAAGATATTTCAGTAACCTAGCTTTAACAGTTTCTTAATAAAATGTTGTCATCAACCTTCTTCCAAATCAACATTTTCAGTTATCTCTTCTCTTTTTCTAAATAAGACATAAACATGATGATGTAACTAATATGATATTTCGGATTACAGTAATGACACGATTTCCATCACATTTTAGACAGATACTTGTTAATTTCCGAATAATAATGATCATTATTATTAAACTTTCAATTAAGTAATGACATTAAGACGAGACTATAATCTATGAACGAACCAATCAAATTTAAGATAACAGATCTTGGATTTCAGTGCAAAATTCTTTGTCCATTTGGCTAAATAGAGTCTTGACATTTTAGTTAATGTAAGTTCGTGATGAAAATCCTAAATCTAATCTCTATCCATAACCATCAACTGTAAATTAAAATCATTATTCTTCACAAAGGTTTAAAACCCGTATTTAGCTTTAGTCAGTAGGTAGACATTCTCAAAGCCACTTTAGCGTTGCTCAAAAATCTCACCGACGCTAAGTATTGTAGTGGATTAAGAATATAACAATTCCAAAAATAATAATAAAGTTAGTACATCTAGTATAATCTATACATACAAGAAATATATACTGGACATTACTTAAATTGTCAAGAATTGGAATGGTCGAGTTTCTTTTAGTCTAGTAATCTACAATTATAAGTAGTTAATCATTCCGATTACAATTGTTATAGGTCGAGATGTATATCCAGATATAATGAGAATATCACTGTAATCTAAAAATGTAGATAGCAAATATAATAGAGTTCTAAATCCACTTGATATTGTTTTACTTGAACTACCCATTAATGTTTAGGATTGCAATTGGTTAATCTCTTATTGGTATACGCACATATTGTGCGTATTGCCTCGATATTGCCATAATTCACAAGCATTATATTGTAAAGATGGATAGTGGCTAGCAGTGGCATCCATTTTTGCGCGCGTTTCGTCCTATTTGGGAATCATCAGCTGGATATACCTGCATCTCAGAGTCGATGTTCACTCTGGGATTCAAACTCAGTGGAGTGATTCAAACAAACAATAACAAGTGAATTTAAACTTTACCCGATTGCACAAGCTAGTGACTATCAGGGCCCAGTAGGTAAGTGGATAACGCTGTGGGACTCAAAGCGAACGGTTTTGAGTTTGAGTCCCAGAGTGTAAATCAACTCTGAGATGCAGGTTACATCCAGTTGATGAGTTCCAAATAGGACGAAACGCATGTCCTTGTATTCCACTGTTAGCCACTACCAATCTTTGCATATTAGAGTTCTGTTATCATAACAGTAGATAATTCAGAACAGGAGGCATATGTGTGCAGCAGTGAATTTAAGAACGATAATCAATGTGTTATACTATGGTAGGTTCGAAACAAAAACGGAAAATCCAAGGTCATATTATTTTAAACAACTACTTTACGTTTACTCATAGTAATTGTATCAATTATGAGAAATAATGAAAGAAATACAAATAGTAGCAAAAATTATTTACTAGCTAAGTCTGTTCTAACTATCTCTGTAGTATCTTTATCAAAGGAAGCAGGTTGATAAGAAGGAAAATGAAATGTAGTTGATTATTTTTCATTTAACTGATTTATATAGTTTGAATCAGTGTTTCACGGTATTTCATTTATGAAATAATTGTCATTCTAAGCCAAGTTTTGTCTCACTCATTATTATTTCACGATTAATTGATTTCATAGTTTACTTATTATTCAATGAGTTACTTAGTTACTTACTTACCTACTCACTTACTTCCTTATGCCTGTTACTCCCTGTTACCGTTGACCAGCATTCTTTAACCCACTCTGTCCTGGGCTTTCCTTTCTAGTTCCATCCAATTCTTGTTCATTTTTCTCATGTCTATCTCCTTTTCTCGACGTAATGTGTTCTTTGGTTTTCCTCTTCTTCTTTGGCATTGAGGATTCCATGTAATCAAGCAGTTGGAATTCACAAATTGTACCCGTAATACCAGCTGATAACAAATGATGATGATGATTATGATGATATTCACTAACGAGACATAATGATTGGAATGTTAACATTGTCAACATTTCCGTTTTGAACCAAATAGTTGACTATTATTTACCTATTTGCATATATAAACTATGGTACTATGGGGCACCAAATACATATGCACCACACAATATCAATGAAGCTAGTAATAGTTATGTTTGATTTGTGTGGGCGCTGTGATACTTACTCTCCGGATTCCCAAACCGAAGTAGGTAATTTTCTTAGGAAGCTACAACCTGAGCCTTTGACTTAAAGGTCTAATCCACAAGATAGTAGAACAACATCAGTAGATGCAGTTCCATGGTAGTCGGTGACCAACAAATGGTTCATACGCTATCTGTTCTCTCTAAATCCTGGAGCTCATGTGCACTATTGATTTAGAATTAGAGTTTCTCAACTCCCCTAGGTGGATCTTCCATATCCATCAAACCCGGTTAAAGCTCCAGACATTCGCTTTTCGTCATCTCAATTGCGTAAACAACATCCCCATCACAAAAATTTATTGAGTAGGACATCCATGACAGTGTCTATATAAGCGAGGCTATGTAAGAGCATTTAAAGAGAGAGAGAGAGAGAGAGAGTGAGTGAGTGAACTCTCCTCATTTAATTTTAAATTAAATAGTGATTTACAAATAATAATATATCAATTGTTACCATGTTAACTTCATTTCTCAATGAATCTATACATAATTCATTCATAGTATCATTTGATGCATACAATGTTACAAGTTTATTGATTTTATTCTTTGGATATATATCTATTTGACAAAATTATCAGAAATCAATTGATGTATTTTATTGATAATTCATATTTCTACAAGTTGTTGATTTCAATAAATCAAATGTATACAGTAAATATGAATGTTAGAAAAGAAGGTTTGTTTTCCATTTTTTGCAAATTAGAAAACAAAAACAAAATTCTTATTCATTTGCATATTTTAATATAAATCAAACTATATTTTATTGAAAATAAATTTGTATTAAGTAATGAAGAAATGAACGATAGAAGAAAAGATGCATGGTGGATGGCAGTGGAATTCAGGACACGCGTTTTGTCCAATTTGGGACTCGTCAGCTTGATGTACTTGCATCTCATGGTTGTTGTTCACTCTGAGACTTGAACCTAGTACCGTTCTAAGTTGTACAAGTAAGTGACTATCAGGACTCAGTAGCTAAGTGGATAACGCGATGACGTTTGATGCGAACGATACTAGGTTCCAGTCCCAGAGTGGACATCAATTGTGGGATATAGGTAAATTTAGCTGATAAGCTCCAAATAAAACGAAACGAGAGTGCTGGATTCCACTGCTAGCTACTATCCATCTTTACTTATAAAGCTTGTGACTTAAGGTAATATTGGGGCAGTACGCAGAAGATGCACATATGTCAATAAGATACTGATCAATTTCAGTCTTAAACCTCAATGGGAAGATTCAAGTAAAAAATACCTAGTGAGTTTGATCCATAAAAGAGTTATTAAAATAGCTAATTTAAATAAATTATTTGACAATATAAACATAATAAAATTATTCACTTGGTATTGCAAATGAATAAGAATTTTGTTTTTTGTTTTCTAATTTGCAAAATGTTAGTCTCCAAAAAGATCTTCATAAGTTCCGTTTGATGAAATTAAAATATGACGAAATCGGATTCCCTAACTTCATTACTAGTTGCAATCTAGTAATATTATAAATATAGTAATTTAATCCAATATCAAGTAATCTAACTAAAGAGTATACTTTCAATGATTAAGATCATGAGTATACATATGTACTTTTAAATCAAATAGACACTTAAATATTGTTATATCCGGATGAGAATAATGAATGGTAACTTTTGGGATCCACTTATCGACCAATACTATACGTATATTTTTATCGTATAATTGTGAAGTAACTGAACTATTCATATTCGTGTCCCTTTATTATGAGCTTTATTTTGACCTATGAACTATTATTATGCGGTTTACCATTCTTGAATCATACTCAGTCTATTAATTACAGACTCCTACATTCACAACCACTTTTGGCTAAATCTTGTACAAATGTTATTACCTATTTTATGGTACAATGCGGTCTGTTTGATTGGTATATAAACCCTGTATGTTTGAAATACATTATTCATATCACAGAGGCTGAGATTGATGTTCTGGACTAAACAGGCTGGGCTAGGCTAGGCAGTAAGTAGGACTGATAAGGACTCTAGACTGCTCGTAAAGGTTGTACTTGTCATTGGTCCTGTAGATAAATAACTGTTCTCTAATTGATGGCATCATCACGTTATACATCAACACTTATAACAAATATCACTAAAGCTAAATGTACAAAACAAAACACCTGTGGGGAAAATCGAACGTATTTTACAAATTACAGAACTAGTTACTAAAATTCAACAACCATATATGAAATGCTCAATTTGCAAAATGTTCATCAATTGTCTCAAATGACTTAGAATTCCTTTGTTCTTGCATTTTCATACAAATTGCATTCTTTCTTCATTCTTTATTGTTTGATCTTCTCGTCTCTCTGCTGCCAGACATTCTGTTCATGACTCACATCATATACTACTTATGTCTACATAAGTAGCACACACCACACTCGTCCCCCCTTTAAAAGCATTCGTTCTTGCGTTGGTTCCTGCTCGCCGTGCAACATTCTTCCATCTGCAGTCTGAGCTACGTCCTCCGTCAAAATGTCGAGTCTGCGGCGCGCTGACCTCCATAGCTCCGTCGACCTGCCGAGGAACCAACATCCGACCTCCACCCGGCACCTGGAACGTCTACACCCGTGCTCCACCGGCCTGCTGAGCCATCTACATCCGATATCCGCCCAGCAGCCGCACGTCCCACCGCTTCTCTCCGTCGGCAGCACCTGCGGCAGCCAACGCCGCCCCGCCAGAACACTCCACCAGACGCCACCTCTCCGCACCAGACTGCCCCAACCTGCACCTCAGCTCCAGGCCCGCAACGGCGTCCGCAGAACAGCACTCTCCCCCTCTACTGGTTGGCAGCGACACCAAATGTAGTGAACAAGAACCAGTAGGGAACAATCGGATGTTATAGTAGTATATAACAATTCAGTTCTATTTTCAAATCTTCATATGTAACCAATAAATAAATTTAAAAAAAAAGAAAAATTAAAAGAAAAAACGGTTAATTCTTTTCTTTTTTTTCTTTTTTTTTAATTTTAAGATGAAAATCATTCTAAATTTGAATATAAAATACATTTGATTGTTTTTTAAAGTGGATGTCAATTGTTATGTAATAAGTATACTATGGTGTATATATTATACATGGTATATATATATACTGATCTATATCATAATGTCAAGATTATAAACTGATTATTTTTATTACATTTATAAAACGTCAATTATTTGTAACATTACCTACCAAGATAATAAATGACATTAAATAAAAGAATGAAAATATTAAATGTTTAAGCGTTTATCACTTGACAGTTATTGCTTAATGACTGATTTTGATAGATATCAGAAGGGGTTTTTGTGGATATTATTAGTTATTTCAATAGTTGAAATCATGATTTAACTAAAGCTAGACCGTCATGGAAAGTCTAGAAACACTGGACAGCTGTTTTGTCCTATTGTGGGACTCCTCAGCAGTGCGTATCCACGATCCTACCTCATGAGATTCGAATCCAGGACCTACTGATCTCGCTCACAAATGCTTAAACTCTAGACCACTGATCTGGTATCCAACGTTGTTAATGTCTGACTTCAACTAATCCACAAAATTAAGCGACACATCCATTATTGTCTTCAGTGAGTTACTATCTCACAACAAACCCAGTTTTACTCCACTGATCACTGCTTTTCATTAGAACTCCAGAAAACGACTCCTGAAGCCAGTCACTAGTGAGCATATGTTGATTTATATCGGAAGGGATTTTGTGCCAGACCACCATGGAAAATCTAGAAGCACTGGATGACCGATTTGTCCTATTGTGGGACTCCTAAGCAGTGCTCATCCACGATCCCACCTCGTGAGATTCAAACCCAGGACCTGTCGGTTTTATAATAGGACGAAACGGCCGTCTAATGCTTCCAGGTTTTCCATGGTGGTTTAGATTCGATTGACTCATGATCTAAACTATTGAAACGATTTCGATAGGTTAATGATACAAATTTTAATGAAATTAAGAGTATTGACGAAATTTCAGGTACGTTATGTAGATGATTGTCAACTACCATAAACTGTTGATTCAATCAGTCAACTAACGAGTTATAAGCAATGCACAATCTATTACATGCATCTGTATGTTCACGTTATTGCATCATAACAACACAAAAAGATGAAACTATTAGAACCAATTCCACAATAGTAGAAGTAGTGACAGTAGAATAAGCAAAAATTAAGCATAGGAGATATGATTCAAGGCCGAAGAATCAATTTGTAGAATAAAACATATGAGATAACTTCAAAACTCAGTAACTAAGGGAAGATACAGAGTGACTGTGTTTGCACTATGATAACCGACCTTGAGCCCTGTCATTCAAAGTTTCTGACCACTGGTTACGATAATCATGAGAAAAAAACAAGAAATTCCTCACCTACCAGAGTGGATCAGTCTAAAAGTTAATGACTTCATAGACTGGTGAGACTCATTGGTTTGGGTGCTCCTAGTTTTCTTTCAACTTACTCCTACACCTTTAGTTATCTTTTATCGAAGAAGACGGCGGTTGGGCGTACGTAATACATGTTTCAACCCCTCTAATTGATAAAGATTCACAATTCTATCAACTAGTTTGTTATCTTTACTTAATACTCCGTTTTAAACCTCCGGGCTGCTCATTTAAACTTCTCTAGATACGCGAACAGCCCTCTGAAGTTAACTATGATTATAGATATCCCCCACATTTAAAGAGCACATTTTATATCCATAATATAGAACAGAATTAATTACTGAGTAGGTCTGCTGTATATCTACTGATTCCCTCTAATAATAACATTGAAATTAATATATCAACTGAGAGTTGTAAATCAACTCAATTATAAAAATGTATGTTTTTTTGTATTTCTTATTTGTAGTTTCTGCTATCAAATGTCGCGTTTGTTTACCGTGTGAAGACAAATACAAAAAATTATTCCAAATTACAAAAGATGAAATTTTAGACAACTGTGGAGTTTGTATTGTAAGTCAAGTAAAAATAAAGCCACATTACAGTAAAATAAAGAAGGTTTTACTTTTAATTTATTGTTTGCATTATGAAGTATGTTCCACTTGACACTATGGAGTTCCTGAGAAGATTTTCAGTATTATCCGGAACTCATACGATGGACTACAGTGCAAAGTAGTGCATGGAGGACAGCTGACAGATGCATTCCAAGTAAGGACTGGAGTAAGACAAGGCTGTCTACTCTCTCACTTCCTCTTTCTTCTGGTGGTCGACTGGATTATGAAGACCTCGACATCTGAGGGAAAACACGGCATACAATGGACAGCTCAGAACCAATTAGACGATTTGGACTTCGCAGATGGCCTAGCCCTCCTATCGCATACACACGAACAAATGCAGACAAAAACAGCCAGCATAGCAGCAGTCTCTGCATCAGTAGGCCTCAACATACACAAAGGGAAAACCAAGGTCCTCAAACACAACACGGAGAACACCAAGCCAATCACACTCGATGTAGAAACTTTGGAAGATGTGGAATACCTCACATACCTGGGAAGCATCATCGATGGAAAAGGAGGATCGGATTCAGATGTAAAGGCGAGGATTGGCAAAGCAAGGACAGCATTCCTTCAATTGAAGAACATATGAAACTCAAAAAAACTGTCAACCAATATCAAAGTCAGAATCTTCAATACGAACGTCAAGGCAGTTCTACTGTACGGAGCTGAAACTTAGAGAATTACAACAACCACCATCAAGAAGGTACAAGTATTTATCAATAATTGTCTACGCAAGATTCTCAACATCCATTGGCCGGATACCATCATCAACCGCCTACTGTGGGAGAGAACAAGCCAGCTTTCAGATGAATAGGAAGTTAGGAAAAGACGATTGAAATGGATAGGACATACATTGAGGAAATCATCACACTACACCACGAGACAAGCGCTAACTTGGAATCCTGAAGGGAAGAGGAAAAGAGGAAGGCCGAATAACACATTACATCGGGAAATAGAAGCCGATATGAAATGGATGAATAACAACTGAAAAGAGCTGTAAAGGATTGCACATGACAGAGTTGGATGTAGAATGCTAATGAGTGGCCCATGCTCTTTCATGAGGAGTAACAGGTATAAGTAAGCAATTAGTATGTTCCATTAAGAACTAATCTCAATTGGAGAATCAATACAGATCCATTTACCATGAATGCCTATTTTATTACAATCAGATGCTCTCTAAAGATATAAAAATTTGGTTCATATGAAACTGAAGTATACGATATTGACGTCTTGTAATAGACACGATATTTCAAAGACGTTGTACAGGAACACAATAATACATGTACAACAATCCTATATTACTGTTTATTTCTTCCCTATCTTAGTAAAAATCATTTCATACAGTTCTAGTTGGAACCTGTAAATTAAGATTCCAATCAACTATATAATTAGATAAATATCAATAACTGTGTTGGATACTCATCATCAACTGACCAGTTTTAATTACCATGACTAAGATCAACTATTCTAATGAAACTTACGTACTATGCCATTCTAGCGTTAATGATTCCAATCAGAATTGATTCGCAGTCAAATTATTAGTTTATTCATACTGTGTAGTAAATAAACTGAGAAAAATTTTCTGATTGTCAAGTCAGATATAAAAAAAAAACATATTTTCAAAGTATCCTAAGACAAATCGGTCGCCCTAAATTACTAAAATAAATCCAAGGTGAGAACCAACAGGTAACAGGAGAATTATAATGTTCATAATATTAAGAATCCCTTGATAAAACAGTTCATGTCTCATCAAATTTGTATACTTAATGTTGTTAAATATAACTGCGGATAATTTTGTCAGTTCAATATCTTAACCTTAAAACAACTGGATAACATTAACAATATGTTTCTATTTAACTTATTTACTATTTAAAACAATTAATCCCTTTGATAAATGCTGACTTGATGTGAACTTTATGAACAGTCTCAATCAAATGTTTTGGGAATGGAGGATGATGTTTTTTCTATCCTGTGATCTTATTTAACCAGTGGAATTCATTTGTTTGTGAATCCATTTTGATATGTGTTCACCCACCCTTAATTGCAAATCATGATTGCTCCTCCCTATGTACGTGTTTCCACACATATGTGTAAATTGATAGACAAAATGGGATGTGACACAATCGCCTTCGTTCTGTTTGGGCTTTTGGTGAAGCATAAACTTTGTCTTTTCAATAATGACAAGTTGGGCTGCATAAAATGTCCGGTTGATAGCTAATTTAAGTCTCCGTTTCAACATGAGACTATTTGTGTCGCCTCTGAATGGTGACTTAATATAAACTCGCGTATTGGGTGCCAGAAGCGTCATAGGTCTAATCGTATTGCAACCCTTCCAGCGGTTTATGAACTTCAATGAATAACCATTATTCATTAACGTATCAGTCATGATTTTCATATCAACTTCAATAGTATCACTAGTAGAAATACAATTGATTCTATTGAATAAGCCATTTATTAATCCACATTTGTAATGAATTGGGTGGTGACTATCTTTAATATTAACAGAATCATTGTTTATCACAAGATTTGATAGTATTAGGTTAGATCTTTATTAAGTTCAAGAGTGTAAAACATTAGGAGGGAACATGAAACTATCAAACGTTTATATTTTATTATTGTCATTATTGAAAAGACAAGGTCTATGTTTCACCAAAAGCCCAAACAACACGAAAGAGATTGTGTCACATCTCATTGTGGATTGGTTGAAGTTAGATATTAACACCGTTGGATACCGGCTAATGGTTAAGCGTTCGCGCGCGAGACGGATAGGTTCTGGGTTCGAATCTCGTGGAGGACGGGATCACGGATGCGTATTGCTGAGGAGTCTCATACTAGGACGAAACGGCCGTCCAGTGTTTCCAGGTTTTCCATGGTGGTCTAGCTTCGATTGACTCATGATTTCAACTATTGATACATCCCATTGTGTCTATCAATTTACACATATGTGTGGAAACACGTACATAGGGAGGAGCAATCATGATTTGCAATTAAGGGTGGGTGAACACATATCAAAATGGATTCACAAACAAATGAATTCCACTGGTCAAATAAGACCACAAGATAGACAAACATCATCCTCCATTCCCAAAACAATTGATTGAGACTGGCCATAATGTTGATATCACGTCAACATTTGCAGTGTCATACAAAATCCTTCAAGGATGTATACTAAGGTTTATTGAAGCCTTGGTTATACGGAAACTGAAACCTTCTTTATGCGTATAAAAACAATTTTTTCTTTACCCTTAACACCTACCCTGGTAATACTGATTTATTATCCAGAGTGCTTATCACATTTTTGGTATACTTTATGTTTTTTCTTTGTTATGACTTACTTTTAACCTGTATAGTTGACCGTTTACTTTTCATATAAAAATGTCTTAACAAGTATAGATGTATGATCAGATTGTTCAAAATGTTTTAAGCAAATATATTACACAATACTGATAAACTTCGTCTTCTCATCGCATTATCAAAGTTTATACTTTTCCAATTTAACGATCATAATAAATACATATGGATTTGACGAATTCAGGCAATCTGTCTTTATTGGCTGTTCTTATTGTGGGGTGGTTGTAGAAGATAGCATTTAGTCTGACTGCATTAAATGTTTTCTGTGCAGCTTTTTTTAGTCTCTGAGTCACAATAAAGACAGATTGCCTGAATTCGCCAAATCCATTTGAATTTTTGATTTAAGTGATCCTGTGAAGCCAGTTATATAGGGCGTACAATTCGGCAATTTCATCATCGTATAACAGAGCACCATCCGTTGTGGTTAAGCAAAGGACAGGTAAGAGTGATTTAAAGTTCTATTCTCGCTCACTTGGTTGACATAGGTCATCAATTTGACCTGAATAAAGCTTTTAAGATTATCTATCATATTCCATCAAATTGGCCACATGGTTTACGAGTGCGCCTTTTGCACATTGCGGAAGCCATTGTATTCCATGTTTACAAACCTAACCTTCCCATCCAAAAGAAATTTGTACAACCACTTTCGCTACTTTGTCCATCGGTATAAAAGTGCTTGCAGCATAGTTATTTTTCGTACTTCTTTCATTTGGTTTTTTATTTCTATTTTTTGGGGGGATTCGAACCCAGGGCTTTCAGTTTCGCGGACGAACGCTTAACCTTCTAGACCACTGAGCCGGTATTCAATAGTGTCAATGTCTAACCTCAACCAATCCATGAAATTGCGTGACCATCTTCCACCTGTTTCTACCCGACACGGAATAGCTCCACTGGTCATGTCCAGTGCTTTGGTTCATGATCTCAATCAAAAACTTAACAATCTCCACAACCCCTAAACTGATAAATATATATTTGTGTAGAGCCGTGATGTATTGATCATAATACCTCCAAATATTACATAACATCAAAAAATCAACCAAGTAAAATTTATTAAAATAGCTTCGAATATGTATAAAATGGTAATGTGAATAGTAGAAAAAAGACCTATATATTTACTGTATATTCAACTATATAATAACGGAATTGTTTTCTATGAGATACTTAGACAGAAACTCTATATGTAGGAAATAGGCCACTATAAAATCTACAGATGTGTTTGGATAAAGAATACTTATTTGACACTTAAGCTTTCATCACAGGTTAACTTCAGTTCGACCACCATGTATAAGTAGGAATGATTAGAAAACTGCAGCAAGTTGGAAGCATTCAATGTATCTAAATTAATGGTTGCTCTGGTTTTCAGAAGGGGCATCAGCCTCGTGACTTTCGAAGGAACTCAGCTTTCATCACGAGGCGTTATAACTTTTGTAAATGAAGACCTTCTCACTTCCAGGGCAGAGTTTAAATGGTTTGAATTATTGTTTCTGGTTAGTGTTTTATAGCGAGTTAGTTTTCTACGAGATGGGGTCGCTAACCCCATGCTCAACCCTCCTCCTATATCCTGTCTTGGGACCGGTAGTAGCCGTAGTGGGATCCACGCGGAGCTAATATCAGTGTACCAGGATGTTATTTTACGAAAGAAATATACCTACATTATTTTATTTAGCCGTTTAGACTCATTTACATTCTTTCTAGACTTTTTTGATGTATGTTAGTAATAATTCCACACCAAATACAATTATATAAGTACTCAAAACCATTCACTTTGTAAACCCAATTTAGAAATATTACAGTTAGTCAGCAGTTGAAGAGAACCGAACGAAATAAAATAGATTCATATTATATCACTTATGTTCTCTTCTTGCTCTCTTGAAATTAAATAAAGGAAATATGTTTGTACGATTCAGAAATGATTACTGGATACTTTATGATTTACGAGATTAAACAATATTTTGATTTTACTTTAATTTCTTATTTACAGACAGCCTACTCAACATTTCAAGGTTATCAAATGGAAGGTCGAGGTTGTTTACTGAAATGTCCACCTAAAGATGTTATCAATGAACTTACTCCAGGACTTGTTAGCAAGTATAACTGTTGTTATTATGATTTATGTAATAGAACCAACAAATTAGTTGTACAGTACAAATTAATTATTCTTATTTCATGTTTATTCATTTCATTATTTATTGTTATGAATAGATTTAGTATTTGTTAAATGTAAATACATGTCAGCATTTCACTAAGACATATTCTTATTATATATTCATGAGTGTTCTTTAATGTGATCACCAAATTGTTGTGACTTTAATCCCTGTTAAATATCATGTGATTTATTCGCCAACCAGAGTACAACTTATGCAATCTTAGTACTTTGCTCAAACCAATGACGTATCGACCAATGTGAGTAGTCTAGAGTCTTTATTGGTCCTTTGCCTGCCTAAACCTTCTAGTTGAGTCCAGAATACCAACACTAGCTCCTAATGTGTGAATCATTTATTTCAAATATACCTGGTTTATATACACTCCAAACAGACCATATCACATCATAAAATAGGAAATGACATTAGAACAAAATGAAGCCGAAAATTGGCTGTGATTGTGGAAGACGGTAATTAATAAACTGAGTATAATTTAAGACTAGTTAATCGTGTCACAGTAGTCTATGGGTCAAAATGAAGCTTATAATAAGAGGGACATGAATATACATAATCTTGTTACTGAACAGTTATACGACAAGTATATATATAATATTAATCTATAAATAGTTCTCAGAAGTTACCCATCACTTGATTTTCGTTCGAGTAGAACAAAGAGAACGTGAACAGAAAGTGATTAGTATGAAGATGAATGAGCAATAAAGTCTGAGACAATTGATGGATATTTTGAAAATGAAGTATTGTCGTATCATAATAGTGTAGAATTACGGTCTACTATGATATTAGCCCTGCTCTAATAATAGACCTAATCCTAAAATTGTAGATTTGTTATGATGTAACTGCTTAATCTATAAGATCTTACTCGGAAGTCACATCGTCATCTACACCGACTCACGGCATCGTAACAATTGCCAATGCATGATAGAGGACAATCTTAGGCTAGAGATAGGACAATATATTTAATATGAATAAAAGATATAAGGTCAAATTCAGGAGGGACCACGCCTGCATGGTCGAGCCATGCCATAAGATTAACCCCGAATAATTCAATACATTCTCCCCGCCTTCTCCATTCTTCTGTATTTCTCCGCGTTAAATGTTTAATGTCTATTTCTGGTGTTGTCTCGTGGTCTGGCCCAATGCCACTACAATAGTTTACAGGTCAAAATAAAGCTTATTATTAGAGAAATATAAATATGCGAAATCTACTTACTGAATGGTTATACAATAAGAATATATGTAAAGTATCAGTCTACAAATAGAGCCCAACAGTTACTGTTGTTTATTCTCCTCGAGATATAATACAAATTTTACCTAGTTCAATCAATATTTTGTACACTTCAATTCCTACATTTCAATTCTCTTTTCAAGTACCTTTTCTTCGTTTTTATAAATTCAACTACTTATGAGTAGTACAACGTAGCTATAAAATATTTCCCGAAACTTTTGGTAGATAGAAGAGTTTACGAAGTACTGTTCGTTGTGAATATTTGATCTACAGGTAGTTAAAATTGCGGACACAATCGAACTAGAAAATCTTTCAGAACAGAGGGTCACTAAAAATCAGTTTGATCTTGGTTGTTTATCACCTTAGTGAAAAACCAGACATTGAACTTCCACATAGTAGGTGATTTGGAATCATGCATCATTGAATACTAACTCTGTGAGCTAAAATTATTGCACCTAGTCCACTATCTGAAAATTTTTAGTTCGACCACTATGCAAATGTTATAGTTGGGAGGGCTTGTGAGTATCAAGCAGACATTTAATTTCTCTTCCATTCCCTCTAGTCTATCGAAATTTTCCAGTGTATTAAATAGTAAATGCGAACTTCCTAGATTAGTTAGATTTTTAAGAAACAAAAGTTGTGATATAATGGTCGCATACAATACTGTCTTTCTTGTACATTAAATCTGAGGAGATAATGAGATTTAAATAGTTGCACTCATAAGGAATTTCACTTATAACAGACGTTTAACCCATCGTTTAATTATTAAGATATCGTAACTATCACCCTAGCATACATAAAAGGCATATCAGAAACTACAACGAGACTGCTGAAAACCTTCAAAATAGGTGTTGTACACAAACCAACAAAATCACTGAAATCAATCCTATGCAAATCAAAGGATGAAATGACAAAAGAAGACAAATCTAAAAAATAAATTGTGCCAACTGTGAGAAGCACTACATCAGACAAAGCTGACGTCCTCTTCATCTTCACCTGCATGAACATCAATTAGCAATCAAGCGCCATGAAATGACCTCACTTATATCAATGCACGTGGACAACTGCGGACACTCATTCGACTGGAAAATTTTGTATAGAAGCAATTCCAAAAACACTTGAGAATTTTCAGAAGCTTGACACTCAGGTCAATCAGCAATCAACAAGCACATTGATATCGATTTTATTTATCAACCAATCAGGAAAATTATGCACAAACATAGGAACAAAAATCAAATCAATGGGAGATACAACCACAACAAAGAAGTAAACAATGACACAAAAAGAACCAATCATCATCGAGTTGTACAGGACAAACTGTGAACCACATATGAATAAATTCGAACACTTCACTTCTCTCTAAATTTTGTGCTGAAGATATCGTTCAGAAGAACGATGAAAACTCCACGACTAAACTATCCAGCTCAGAGAACAAAACTCCATCAAAATCATCCACTTGAACTACAAATCTTCTCAAAATTATGCTTGATATTCTCTTTTCGCATTTTAAAATAAAATGTAATTTCATACACATAGTTCCCTTTATTATTTTAAAGAGAGCAAGAACAAAGGTTAGTGCAGAATAATATGAATTCATTTTATTTCGTTAGGTTCTCATCAGCTGCTCACAACCTAAAATATTTGAAATTCAACGTTATTACAGATATTGACATACTTATACATAAGAGAGTGATGAAGGATGAACATGATGTAGCAAAGATGCTGTTAGAGATAATGAGGTTATAAAATTTGTTTCGGAGGGAAGGTTCCATAACATAGAAATAGTGATTAGAACTCATGGAATTAAAACACATTAGATGATTATGTAATGAAGTAACTGAAATAGATTAATGGTAATAAAGAGAGATATGAACAACACAACAGATTATATCTCTAAAATGAAGTCCATTTTGAGTGGCCACACGAGATTCAAGTTAGAAAAAAGCAACAAAGACTTAACTGATTCCACTGAGAAAAGAATCACGAAAATACTCAGAGACCTACTAAAGAAGAAGATGATCGATAATCCTACCTACAATTACCTACGACCTCATTGGTCTCGTTTGCCCGACATGTATGGTTTACCGAAAATACATAAACAAGATAATCCTCTTAGACCTATTCTGTCAATGGTCAATTCACTATACCACAAAGTTGCACGATGGCTGGCAGATAAATTAGAACCAGTTCGTCAACGACTATCCACCTATACACTAAAGGATTCATTTGAATTTGCTGACAGTATGAATCACATAATTATTGCTGGTAAGTTTATGGTTTCTTTTGATGTGACATCATTGTTTACAAAACTACCACTTCTTGAAACCATAGACATAATTTGTCAGCATCTGGACGTCCTACCTCTACCAGCAACAGAATTCAAACAACTATTACTCATATGTACAAAATATGTTCAATTCCAATTCAACAATACTGTATACCGACAAACCGATGGTGTAGCGATGGGAAGTCCATTAGGCCCTGTCCTAGCAGACATTTTCATGGCTAACCTCGAAAGAACCAAACTCAAAGGAGCGATTAATGAAATGATGTATTATTCGAGGTATGTTGATGATACGTTCATCGTATGTAATAATCAACAACATGCAACAAATCTGCTAAAATATTTCAATGAAGCTCATCCCAATATTCATTTCACTATGGAACATGTAAAAGAAAATAAGTTCCATTTTCTCGATATCGCGATGAAACGAAGAAAAGATGGTACAGTTCAACGCTCAATTTATAAGAAAGACACATGGAATGGGATTTATCTCAATTTCAACAGCTTCTGTCCAATCAATTATAAAAAGGCACTTGTCAAAACATTTTTTCACAGAACAGAAAGAATATGTACTGCCGATACAATAGAAGAGGAAGTTCTGAATATTAAAAAGTGTTTAAGGAATAACGGATACCCGCTGAAATTTATTGAGAAATACGGAAAACGTGAAGATAAAATACCAAAAGAAACTACTGTAAATAAAAAACCTGTTTTTATTGAACTCAAATTCAAAGGTGATAATGTCACAGGGTCAATCAATATGGGACTAAACACTGCATTGACAAAAACATATCGAGCAGCTAAATTGATTGTCCTGTCCAAAACAACATGTTCTTTAACACAATCAAAGGTCGACGGGTATCCCTTTCATGTTACCCCCAACTGTGTATACAAATTTACATGTATCTGCCAAAGCAGTTACATTGGTAGAACAGAAAGGAGAGCCTACGTCCGATTCAAAGAACATATTCCGAAGGGTTTGAGATCAAACGGACCAAAAACATTCAGCAGTGCTATCGCAAGACATCTCCTTGACACAGGACACGAAATCAATATACTGAAGTCCTTTCAAGGTGATCAACAAACAATCAAATTCCAACCTTTTAAAATTTGCCGAAGCGATAGCAATCAAACGTTTAAAACCAAATCTGTGTATACAAAAAGAAACAGTAATAAATCTTTCTTTGCCCTGGTAACATTAACCCGTCTTTTATTTATTACGTCATTCCAACTCTTTCCAAAATAATTTTATAATTACATGATTCATAACTGATTTCAATTCATATCTCTCTTTATTACCATTAATCTATTTTCAGTTACTTCATTACATAATCATCTAATGTGTTTTAATTCCATGAGTTCTAATCACTATTTCTATGTTATGGAACCTTCCCTCCGAAACAAATTTTATAACCTCATTATCTCTAACAGCATCTTTGCTACATCATGTTCATCCTTCATCACTCTCTTATGTATAAGTATGTCAATATCTGTAATAACGTTGAATTTCAAATATTTTAGGTTGTAAGCAGCTGATGAGAACCTAACGAAATAAAATGAATTCATATTATTCTGCACTAACCTTTGTTCTTGCTCTCTTTAAAATGTAATTGTACACATTATCTATCATAATCTGATATAGTATAATACACAATCACCTGATAATCATTTACCTTTATTTAATCAAATAATCATGAATATATTTTTACGAACGGAACAAATTAATTGAACACAAGATCAAATGAAATAATTTTTTTTTAGAAAAAAAA